TAAGTTCCATTTGGGGCAAGACCCAGGGAACATATGCAACCTTGATAAGTTTTTGGAACCCGCCAAGAAGAAAAATACAGTTAAAATGGGGAAAAGTGCGCTTTTCAACTAAAAAGGGTAGCATCCTTGGTTATGAGTGGAAGGGGTTTAATATTCCCAAACCCTGAACGCTCGACCTCTACGGAAATTCCCCAAAGCCTCAAGACAAAAAGCCCCTCCAAGAACCTTGGTCTCTTTGGTTATTACTCAAAAATGGATCTAAACTATTCAAGTAAAGTCCGCCCATTTTGCTACCACATTTCCGTGACAAAGGGCAGAAGCTCTTTTTCCTTTTCTCTCAAACAGGGGATTGAAAACTCAGTAGTTAAGCCATTGATGAGTCCCTACCATTCGAAATGGAAACGGATGCATTGACATGCCATTGCTGCAGTCTTATTCAGCGGCGACCGTAGCCTTTTCGAGAATTTTTTAAGGATCAAGAAGTGTTATGCTGTGTAGAAAAAAAGCCCAGGCCCTAATAGAAAGCTTTGCCATGGGGGCATTATTTAACTGGTAGACATTTCACCATAAGGACTGACCAAAGGGCCCTGGTGTATATGTTTGACAAGAACACAAAAGTAGATAAAAAAAGACAAGAATTTTGGCTGGAGAAAAGGAACTATCGTGTTAACTTTGTTTTCTTCCGACTGGTCAAGAGAGCATCTCACCTGATGCATTCTCTAGGTCCCACGTGGAGCGCATTTTTGATTTTCAAACCTCTCAGGCTCCACAAGGCTTTGTGTCCCCCGGATTCACGCCGTACCATTTTTTTCAAATCAAAAAACATGCCCACCTGAAGAGGCGACAAGGACAAGCATGCAGATATGTGCAGGTGAAGCCAACTTTCTCCCAAAAGACTCATCCAAAAAAAAAAATCCACCCACCTTTCGGAGACTGAATATAATTTCAAAGGACCCCTACCAAGATAAACAAATAGATATTTCCTTAACATGTAATGAATACAAGGGTTTCCCCTTTTTGTCCCCCTTTCAAAAATGACTGCTTTAAAAGATTAGTTGTCTTTCCAGTTTTTCTCATTTTTTTTGCCGCTTATATCCATTCAGAAGGGGATCCTCGTTCATGAGTAACGAACTTCAGGAGTTTGGGCTAGCAAAGTATTCCTGCAGCAGAACAACACACAACCCCCAAGGGGAAAGGGGCAAGTGGGTGGTTCAATGGTTAATGGAAAGGGAGTTACAATGACATTGAAGTCGCGCAATCTACCCGTTTAAAAAATGGGAAAATGTCCCACCCGATGCCTTCACCTTTTTTGATCATTGCTGTGCACACTACAATGCAACCCCCCCCCTGAAAGGACATTCAACTATTCACGTCGTTCCCTCGGGACCCCGTGCCCCCCTTGGTTATGTCTCCCGGACCCGTTTCTCCTGAAAAGGGCACCGAGGATAAAAGCGGTCCTTTAGTGGAAGAGGTAGAGCTCCTCAAGCTAACTACTTACGCCCATATTCGCTACCAAATGGTGAAGGACTCAGTTTCCCCATAAGCATTTAGCCCCCGTTGAAACCCCCCCTAGGTGGAATCTAAAATACACCAATAGATGTGAAAAATGCTTCGTTTTTCTCTGGAAAGCCCCTTTAACTATTCCTACAGAAAAGAGGATTCGCTCCGCATTAGTCAAACCCCCCTGGAAAAATTGAACCTGGTGAAGGGCTCAAGGCTACAAGGCGGGACTGTATGTCGCCCCCCAACGTTTGGGAGATTACTGTCTCGATATTTTAGAAGGGGGGGATTGTAGTGATATGCCCTTTTTGGGAGCAGCAACGGATAAACTGCACCCCCTCTCGGGGCCCTTAAAAACAAAACAGTTTTTTGTGTGTCATGGGCGCCAACAAATGGTGTGTGATTCCTTCTTTAATCAAAATATTATGATGCAGATTACATTGGGGGTTTTAAAAAGTGGCCTTAGTTAAACTTTTTTTCCCTTGACATATGCAAGACATCACCATCCCCCGTAGAACCTTATTGATGACTATCTTATATTTTTTTGTTGCAGAATACATGAAGTTCATGTTCAATAAGCCCCGAGAAAGGCCCGTGTTTTTATCACAACATTCCCAAAATCTACACAACCGGGCAACATGGGTTCAGGGAGTCCTCCTGCCTCTCACAACTCTGGATCACTTACTGGCCTTGGGTGCCTGGAAAAAATAAAGGGAGATTAATATACACAAATTTTCAAAAACATTTGACAAAAGTGATCATGCGTAATAGCCCAAAAATACGGCTAAAGGAATAACTGGGAAAGTGGGAGATGGATCTTCAACTTTCCAAAAAAATCCACACAAAGAGTAGTGGTCAACAGAGTTAAAAACGGAGGCTGCCATAGGAAAGCTCTGTTTCTACAAGGGCCCGTACTCGCCCCCATCTTTTTCCTTATCCTCAATCAGACATAGACGAGATTACACCACGCACCATATCATCCTTTTGGGGTGATACAGGGTTTGCGAGGCGTCATCTGCTGAGGACGCGTTAACCTCCAAAAAATTTTAACAAAGTTTTCCAGTGGGGGAACGGTAAACAATATGAAATTAAAGAGGAAAATTCCAACTACTCCGTTTATGGAAAACTGGAGAAATAAAACTAGAACAGAGTATACTACTGACTCCGGCCATACATAGAGCGGAAAAAAATGTAAGGGGCCGGGGTAGTAATGTTGAGATCTCCTTTTAAAGGGTCCCCAACAGTGCCAAAGATCGCACTGCAAAAAAGTAGGGGTGGATAAGAGAACTTTCAAACGAGAGATGCCAAGCCATTGAGATCCTTTTCAAACCTTTTTCTCCAGGCTGGAATATGCTCTCATTAAAAATCTCCCTTCAAAGCAATGAAATTGCGATCTAGAGGGGTGTACGGATCCTTTTCTGCAGTATAATTCTGTCAAGCACCTTAACTACTGGGAACGCTTGGGAAACCTTGACTTGTCTCGTTGGAACGCAGGAGGGGAAAAGTATATCATAATCACCTTGGAAAAACTTTGGAAGGAATGGGCCCAAATCTGCACACAGAAATACTCCCTACGAAAATTAAAAAGACTGGGGGGCGATGCAAAAAGCCCCCCAAAAAAAAGTAGGGCCCATTGTACATAAGGGAAAACACCATAAGTGCCCGGGGCCCAAAACTGTTCAACAGCCTCCCACAAGATTAGGGGAATTACCAATAAACCCCTGGCTGCCTTCAAGGAGAGCTGGACAATACCTAAAGTCAGTGCCGGGTCAGCCCGGGGTTGGGGTACGTTGGATGGTGCGGCCACAGTAACAGCCTAGTTATAAACCCGATCCATCGGGAGGCGGTCATGGACCGGGGGCCCCGGGGGGTTGATCCCCGGGTAACCTCCAGGGATCTCACCCCAAAAATTTCTTGCACTAATAAATTTTCCTTGTAAAAATTCATGCAGGTAATTTCCTCACACAATAATAAAAAAATTCACACCTGGGGAAGGGGGGAAAATTAGGTGGGGTTTTTTTTCACTTTTTTCACCTTACCTGGCAAGTAAGTAGGTACCTGGGTTTAGTCGACTGGTGTGGGTCGCATCCCCGGGGGGCAAAATAAATAAGTTTTGTTCGGATTTTTAACCCCGGGGGGTTAGCCACCCAGGTAACCCCAAAAAATCAGGCGCCCCCGAGGATGTCTACTTTTTCCATTGGGGTCTTAATTTTTTCCCCCCAAAGGCCCCCCAGTCGACCCCCCGGGCCCGGGCGGCCCCGGGGGGGGGGGGCCCCCCCGGGCCCCCCCCCCCCCCCCCCCCCCAAAAGAGGGGGGGGAACCCTTTTAAAAATTTGAAAAAAATTTTGTCTCTTATGTGTGTTTATCTACATGACTTCGACTACAATCCTGCACGAACATCAGCATCGTTATTATTATTATTATAATCAAGGGGAAGCGCTAAACCCGGAGGATTATACAGCACCTGGGGGGATGTGGAAGGCATTCAGGCTTAATTTGGGGAACTGGAGCACAGATCCAATTCCCTAAACCAAGAGCCCCTGACCAACATCAAGGAACCTTCCTTGAGGGGTACATCAGCATCAGCTTCTCATCCTTCATACTGTACTGTTAAATGTGTCACCTACACCTGCAGCAGACATTCTCCTCACAACACAAGTACTACCACAAAATGGTTATCATCATAACCATAATAATTAAAGAGGTGGACCGGTAAGCCAGTGGAAGGCCTCGGTCAGATGACCAAAAGCTCCAGTGGCAGGTTTTCATATGACTAAGACCCGCGTCAAGAAACACTTGCCCGGTGGCTAAAGCTCCCGCTTCACACACGGAGGGCCCGGGTTCGATTCCCGGCGGGTGGAAACATTTCAACACGTTTCCTTACACCTGTTGTCCTGTTCACCTAGCAGCAAACAGGTACCTGAGTATTAGTCGACTGGTGTGGGTCGCATCCTGGGGGATAAGATTGAGGACCCCAATGGAAATAAGTTACAGTCCTCGATGACGCACTGACTTTCTTGGGTTATCCTGGGTGGCTAACCCTCCAGGGTTAAAACTCCGAACGAACTCTTATCTTATCTTACCTGACAACTCTCTCCAGGACTTTTTCCAGGACTGACAAACCTTACCTAACCAAACTCCAACACAAATTCCTTATCTCTGCTATGCCTTTACCACTTCACGTCGACTTTACCAATGATTCTAATCCATACCTACCCTTTGCTTACCTCTGTTACTGCATTAGTGATGTGTTATCTAGCAGTGTTGTGTTGGCTAGCAGTGGTGTATTGTCTATCAGTGTTGTTTGGTGGCAGTGAGTGAACAACATAAGCTAGCGGCCAGCAATAACAGCCTGGTTGATTAGACCCTGATCCACCATGAGGCCTGGTCTCAGACCGGACCGTGGGGGCGTTGACCCCCCAAAACCCTCTCCAGGTAAACTCCAGCCGCTGGGTGAGAGGCCACCTGACTGGTAGTGCTGCTTCTCACACGGTGTAGGGAAGCAGTAGGAAGCCACGTCTGGTGTTGTACACACGGCGTGGCTTAACTCTGGCTCTGGAGCAGTGATGAGTGCCACCATGTGTGTGTTGCTGGCACTGTGGGTCCACGGTTCCCTGGGAACCGCCAGCAGTGCCACCCCATACCCAGGTACTACCCCACCTCCTCAGGTTACCGTGGCAGTGAAGGTCTTGAGGCAGAATACCACAGCGGAGACCAGTAATAAGAGTTCTTCATTGGGCACTGTGCCCCACGAGGGGCATACAACCCAGGGTACCACAGAAGTGGCACAGCGGGAGAGCACTCCCTCCATCACCGTCCCACGAACTACCTCCACCTCCCCGCCTCTGCCCATTGTCACCATCACCAGTCGCTTGTTGTATGATGGACGGCAGGAGGTGGGCGAGGAGGATATGGGCACCAGCAGGTCCCTGGCTCACGACCCAGTGCCCAAGAACCTGCAGTTCGAGGCAGTGCCCGAGGGCGAACCCTACACCACGGACACCACCCACACCACGCCCACACTCCTAGCATGGGCGGGCGCCCTCATTACTTCACTCCAGCCAACCCACTTTCCCTTTGGTAAGTAAGACTTATCAAGGTTTCTTGGTCTAGAGAACTGAAGCCACAAATCCCCTTCCTTGAATCAAACTTGATTACCACCCATTCCCCAAGTGCTGATGATCCTTATGGATTTAGCGCTTCTTCGTGAATGAAATAATTCTCATTATTAGTAGGTAAAGGCGTTCCTTAATGTCAATAACGTGGGAAATAATAATAATAATAATAATAATAATAATAATAATAATAATAATAATAATAATAATAATATCTATATTTCTAGAAGTACATATACAAGGTATATATACAGTCCTAGCTGACATCAATGACATACTACTGTACAAAAAGCCGCTTGTTATGCTGAGCATTTCGGTCAAATTAGGCCAATTTTGTCCCAGGATGCGACCCACACCAGTTGACTAACACCCAGGTACTCATTTTACTGATGGGTGAACAGGGACAGCAGGTCTTATGGAAACACGACCTGTTTTCCAGCCGTACTGGGGATCGACCCCCCGGACCTGTGTGAGCTGAGTGCTCTAGCAATCGAGCTACGGGAGCTCAGAAGCTAGTCTGTCTTGTGGTCAGTGGACGGAGAATCAACCTCGTGTATGTTAATTTGAAGTATTTTGGGGGGGACTGAATTTTGACTCTGCTAATTTTCCAAATTTACAGATTTTTTTTTTACCAAATGGGACTCTTAAAAAAATAATTAAATAATTTTTTCCTTAAGAGAACTGTAGTGAATTTTAAATATAACTGGAATATAAAAACTGAGAAATATTGAAAACTAACGTTTTATATCGATTTTAGTTTTCCACGAGTTTAGTGAAGCATCAAACACCAGACAGATTCGTAATGCTTGAATATATTTCCCGATAGCGTTTTATTTCCTACTACTTTAACTTCCTTCACGATTTTGCTTTATAATTTCAGGATGTCTTAGCCTATCGAATTAACATTTTCAACCCGTGTCAACTAAGTGAAGACACTCGTGGAACAACTGAAGAGTGTAGATGCACTCTCGTCAGTGTTGTATACCTGGAGAGAGTTCCGGAGGTCAACGCCCCCCCGGCCCGGTCTGTGACCAGGCCTAAAGACCATTCCTGAAATTGGTTTCCATGAGACAACTCTAGGAAGCTGTCTTTTTTCATCGGCTTCAAAATTTCAGCACTCGTTTATCCTGCTTAGAAGTTCGGCATTGCTAAGGAATACATAGCTCAGTGGTATTTTATATGCGAGTTTTAGCAGCCTAGGATTGCACGGTGCAGTAATATTTTGTCTTGTTATTTTATTCATTTTACTCTAATATGATTATATATTCAGTGTTTGTTTATATTGGACTGTACAATGCGCAATTAAACTGGTTGATTGATTTCAGATTATTGTAATGGTTATTATAATCATGGGGTAGCGCTAAACCCGTAGGGATTATACAGCGCCTGTGGGAGAGATGGAAGGTATTCAGGCTCAATTCAGGGAACTGGAACAGAGATCCAGTTCCCTAGATCAAGAGTCCTCACCAGCATCCAGGAACCTCCCTTGAGGGGTTATTGACTCAGAGTTAACTGACGCTCCCAGCCCCTAGTAGAAACCTCTACCACAGTCACTCTAGTCTTCAACCCTTATGAAGTCCTCTCCTCGTAAGATTCATACCTCTTCGCCATCTACCTTTCACACCTTTTCGTCCACTTCCATAGCCTTCTCCAGCTGTGCCTTCAGACGCTCAAAACTCCAGTGGTCACAACCTCCTGTCCTTTCCCGTTGCACATTTTGTAGCAGTGTGCCTCATACACTGACTCGTACATATGTGAGAGCTGGAGAAATACATTCACTCCCACATACTTCCAATACCCTATCTGTACCCACAGTCCCACACAGACCCGTCTATACTTTTTCCTATCTTGGTAGCTGCCACTGGGTCTTCTCTCGCTGTTTCATCTTCCTCTTCTACCTTTTGCATTACTCTACCTGTCACCTTCCTGACTACAGAAACGATGAGTCTATATCAGTTTTTATCGAAAAGATAATCCCCGCAATGGACCATGACAAATACTCAGTTAAACAAACCATACCACGGGTGGGGTTTGAACGCTATATTTTCAACCCGTGGTATGGTTTACAACCGTGTCATTACGATTTCGTGAGTCTTGTTACTCAGTTAATCCCGTCGAGGTTTCTCATGTCATTCAGTCCTAAATGTAAGCGTATACCATCCGACACTAGCTTCGACAATATATCATCTTCACATTCTCACCCTTCACAACCCCCCCCCCCTCCACACACAACAAACACACACACACACACCTGCAGCTTGTCTCCAGTTACCCATAACTCCTCCTATTCCATGTGCTAATACTTTCTTTATTAGTCTCCTGTGTTAAGCTTTATCAAAGACCTTACTGAAGTCCATATATATAGAGTATCATACTCTTTTTCATGGTCTGCCCACTGAAATACCGTAGTGAAAATTTTAGTAAATCTGTAAGGCAAGAACGCCCTTCTGGAAAACCACGTTGAACTTCTAAATAAAGAGAATGAACAGCCTCTTATAAGTTAGTGTTATCAGTGAACCAGGACGCACTCTAACTCATGAAACAAAAGAATAAAACTCTGAGAAAATGACAAGCGAAAATCTTGGCTAATAGCTCTTCATCACTTCGCCTATGTCAGCAGTACTCCACCTGACAATGCTGTCACCAAGCCTTACATTCTGGTCACTAATTCCTTTATTCCAGAAGCTCATGTGCATGTATAGCCTCAATATATATGCTCTCCATTTCTAAAAATTTCCAAGGGAGCCAAAAAGTTTCCAGGAAGGGCGGTAAAGCATCCACATAGCTCCCCTTGGATGCAGACATGATAAAAATAACTTTTTTCCAGTGTTCACTGTATCTGTACAATCTGGAAAAAAAGTACGAAAGTTAGAGTGGCAAGTACTGTGCAGATCTTGCCCCAGAGCTCTTTCAGTATGAATAATTAGACACATGTGCAACATCTGGGTATCCTGGCTTGTATATGTTTCGCCATCCAATGGCTTGGCTTCAAAGCTGGCGTTTCTTAGCGGAAGGTTTTAATTAGATTTGAGCTGTATGTCGTGGTTTACCATTTTTTAAGAAATTTGGATATTAGTGTTACGTGATAGCTTGTGAATGTCTCTTTTGATTAGCTTCATATCTTCAACGCTAATATTTAACTTCATAAAAAAACTTATGAAGCACTCTGCACTATTCCAATTGCATGCATTCAGGTAGAGGGGTTATGCAACACGGGGATTCCTTTCGCAGATCGCGCAGCGACCGAAAAACATCCATTTTTTTTCCGCTTTCCGTTAACACCTACCTTACTTTCCCCCCTCCATGCGAGGTTTCCACGATTAAAGCCCTTCCCTCTTCATGCCGGAAGCCTCCCTACAAACTCGCACTCTCTTGAACGCTTTCAGTCATTTACATTGAGCAGTTCATTGAGACGTCTAGGAATATTGTATATTATACCAACTTTCCCAGGTGAAGAAGGCCTGCCTCTTATTCTTTAAAATGCAGTTTGAAATTTAAAGGGTTTTATACAATAGGCATCGTCTTCGACTATCTTCTCACAAGCAATAATGCTGTTGCATGGGTTGGCCTGATGAAGTTGAATGCTCTAAGCAAGCCTACTTGCTGGGAATATTTGCATATTTGTCAGTAGAATTAGTAGGGATAGTGGTGATTTGGGGGTGGTGTGGGTGGTGGTATGGGAGTGGTATGGGTGGTGTGGGTGGCAGCCGACAAACATGGACGTGTTACTGCTACATAAGAACATTACCGCACTTGCCAGGTTTCCCCGGGGGTACACAATCGTGTCTGGAATACAATGTCTACTTGTCTCTTGAGTCTACTTTCTCGTCTCTCCCCTCACCCTAACACGTGTTACAAACAAATGTTTATCTACTTCCGTCATGTTCTAAATAACTTAGTCGATGATAATTCTACGACAGCACTTTATGAGAATTAATTAATTTTTTATAACAAAAAGAAGTTCCTAACACAACATACAGCGCATTTTAAGAACCCCAAATCCCAAAAAAGGGGGGACAAATGACATTTTCCTGGGGCCACACCAAACGATAAAAGGTTAAAGCTAATTCTAAATAAGATTTCGTCGAATTTTAAGGAAGTTAGACCCCCAAAAAACCAAGAAAGGGCTATCAGGACTTTTAACTTAACCATTGTCCTCTGTCCCCCCGGAGCGACACAATGACAACCCCGGACCATTTGCAGGAAAGAACAAAGGGTTTTAAGGAATAAGTCCAAAAAGCTTTATCCAATCATTGGGGCCCCGGAAAAAGGGTGAATTGGTAAAGCTCTACACCGAGGGAAAGGTTGTCCAAAAAGTGTTTCGGAAATGGTTTTTCTTCATGGGTAACAGGTGAAATATTATGTAATGTTATCTAAGGAGGCTGTGTGTATTCTGCATATCACACATGAAAAAAAAATCCCTGTTAAACCACAAGTTGGATGTTTTGGTCAGTCCTGGATCATTATCAAATATTGACTTAATAATCCAGAACGGATCGAACCGTCGCCTAGTTTCCTCCCCAAACAGGGTGTTAATTGTGAATCACTGAGGTCGGGTCCCACCGAGTCTTGGAACAACCCTACCTGTAACACCTGCGAAAATCTATGTATATCTCACATAAGATTTGCAGCAAATTTTTCACTAAGGTTAGGTTCTCTGTTCATAATATCTTTATTTCTACAAGTATATGTACAAGGTATACAGTCCATAGCTGACATCAATGATATATTACTATATAGATAGCCGATTGTTATACTGAGCATTTCGGGCAAATTATGTCAGTTTTGTCCCACGATGCGACCCACACCAGTCCACTAACTCCCAGGTACCCATTCTATACCGATGGGTGAACAGTGATAACCGGTGTAAAGAAACACGCCCAATGTTTCCACCTCGCTAGGAATTGAACCCAGACGCACCAATTATACTGGAGAAAAAAAACTATTAAAAGATAAAGACGATAA